TAAAAATTGATGTGATTATATTTATATATATTATGTGATTATAAAAGGGGTATTTTCTTATTTAAAAAATCAGAACTAACTATAATGTGACTAAAGAAGGGGAGTGATTATATAGGAGGTGACTATAGAGGGGGTCGACTGTACTGATAATTTAAACAAAAATAATATGGGAGATAATCAGTAAAAAAAGAGAAAATCCAAAATTTTTGTTAATTTTTATTATTCAATTTAATTTATGCATATGATCAAGATCAGCCAAGTGATACAATAATATAAATTTTGACTAAAATTTGAATTTCCCTCTTTTTTACTAACAACCTTTTACATTATAAGATTAATTTTTAAAAAATATATATATCAAATTTTTAAAAACTTGAATTTTATTTTTTTAACTAATAAAATATTATTAATTTGCAAAAAATTTTAAAGTAAGTATTATTTATAAATTTTTAGTATTTAATTAGTTATTATTAAAAATGAGAACTATAATTAATATGTTATAACATTTAATGTTATAATAAATGAGAAATGGTCAGTAGAAAAGGGGAAATCCAAATTTTGGTCAAAATTTATATTATTGAACCACTTGGCTGATTTCGGTCATGTGCATAAAATTAGCTTAACAAAATTTTTGTTTTTCATCTTTTCTACTGATCGCCTCCTATATATTACAATTAGTTTTAACCTATATATATTATAACTTATACTGTTGCAACATATATTGCGACTAATTTTAGCTTATGTTGTAATAAGTTGTAAATTAATTACTACTTTATTTTTATTCTTTAATAATATTTAATTAATTTTGAATATATATAATTTATTAAAGTATATATATATCATTATAAATAAATTTAAATAAAATTTTATATTTACAAAGTATTTTTATATTATTTAAATAAAATTAAACCAATATTTATAATAAAAATTTTAATTAAAAATAAAATAATTTTATATAATTATTATATAAAATTTTTAATATAATAGCAATTATATAAAATTACCTTTTTATAATCATATTTAATAAAATTACTAATTTTATCAAAATTAATGAAATGAATTTTATATATAAATTTAAATAATTTAGATTTTTATATAAATTATATTTAAATATTTAAAAAGTAAATTATATATTATTTATATAATTATAGTTAATAATTTAGTATTCTTATAACTTAATAAATTATATATAAATATTTTTTATTAATTAGTTTTTTATTTTAAATTTAATATTTTTATTATTATATTTTAATATAATAAAATCTTTTATTTAATTTTAAAATAATTATAATATAAATAAAATTAGTTAAAATAAAATTAAAATAAATATAAATATTTTAAAAGTAATTATTTAAAAATAAATATTTAGAAATCTTTTAAATTATAACTTTAATTTAATAAGTATTAATATTATTTTAATAAATATTTTACAATAAAATTTATTTAAGTATTACAGTTAATTTTTCAATCACTTTAGTTATATTCAATTATAATATTTATATAATTTTATTATAAATTATTTTTAATTAGTCTTAATTTATTAATAGAACAAATTAAAAAATTTGTATTATTATAATAGAATCAAATTTAATTTATTTGATTTATTATATTAAATATGTTTTATTGATACAGTTAATTTATAATTACTAAATTACAAATAAAATGTGATTAAATATGATTAAAAATAATTTATAATAAAATTACTATAAAATATTATAATTGAATAAGATTGAAACATTTATTAGTAGTATAATTAAATTGGTTTTATTTTTTTTTTTTATAACAATAATTTATTATTTATTAATTTAAAAATAAAAAATGCTAATTATGACAATTTTTTTGATAAATATTAATTAACTTATATTTAATTTAATCATTTTACTTAATATAAGTTCCAAAATGAGAGATAAGAAACTTAAATATAAATTTATGGAAAACTGCCGGGAAAAGCTAATTTAAAAATGCCAAATATGGTTATTATGCATTCATTTTTTTAATTTCCCGGCGGTTGAAATTATCGATATATAATCAAAAAAAAAATCGATTATTTCCCCCAAATCTCATTTTTTTTTATTTGTACTAAGCAAAAATAGAATCCTTTAAGATTAATTTAGAAATAATCGACGATATCGTAATCAAGTCTAAAAGATCTCCTCTAAACAAATATCACATGATTCCTGTCACAGCGTAACACAGACGTAGACTAAATTAACTCAACCAATCAACAAAATACTCATAGGTTACACATGCATATCAAAAAATCCATATAAATAGACCCATAAATCTAGGAAAAACAATTTTTTTTTTGCATCATGTCGGTTGAAACAAGCGTATCAGCTCCACCACCACCAATTTCGCGATATGGAAATATTAACTCCATCAAACCTATCCCTATTCAGAGAAGTGGCACATTAACAATCAAAGAGTTAAGACCGTGGATCCGTGGTTTTGATATAACATGCATCATACTTCAACATTGTAAGCGTATATTTTTAATAATGTTATTTATTATAAAGAGGTTTGTTTTATAAATTAAAATTATCGTTTTGATTTGTTTGATTTAGTGTCTCGTCGTATTTTAAAGACTCAACAAGAAGTGGAACTTCATAGTTTCCTCGTTGCAGACGAAACAGCCGTTTGCACTTTGGTTATTTGGGAAAATGGGCAACATTATCGGGGTGGTGATATAATACACATAACTCATGGGTAAGTAAATCTTTTGTAATTTCAATTTGATTTTTTGTTATATTAACTCGATTTTATCATCACAGTGAAACGAGGGTACATGAAGGATCATTAGAATTAACGGTAAATAAGAATTTTGGAAAAATAAAAATAATTGATTGGTAGGGAGATTTTATTTTATTTATTTTATTTTTATTTTTTTATTTTTATTTTTTTTGACCAACTTTTTTTATTAATTTCTATCGATTATTTTAAGGGACACGATGTATTATAAGGAAGAAGAAGAACCTAATTTGAGCAGTTACACATGGGTACTGGATGAAAATGCGCCAAACACATATGCAAGTATTTATCAAGACATGGTTTCTGCAAAATTCGAGAAAAAAATTCGAGAAAAATTAATTTTTTTTATTCTTTTTTTCAGGTTCCAATTAATACTGAAAAAAAGTTTATCGATTTAGAAACTTTCAAAGCATATGACCGTCCACTACAACCATACATAATAGATTCAATGATACCTAATGGATCCTCAGCAGACATAGCAAAAAAAGAATCTCCAGTGGTTTCGATCAAACAAGAAGAGTCTACAAACTCAATTAAACAAGAAGAGGATGGAACACATGGTGGCATTCAACATTTATCAAAAGAACGTGGAACACCAATTCATCAATCAAGATATAATGGTAATGTTAATGGTAATGGTGGAGGACAGGAACCATTTGGGTCTCAGCTTGATTCTAGATCGCAACAAATGTCACAATCTCCAAGACAGCAGACATCGCAGCAATCCTCCCAGGTATCGCCACAACATAATGATCGTCCGCGACCTACATCAAGACGTAATACGAAATTTACGAGGCATGATAGTTGGCGTGATCTGGAAAGAGGCGTCGATGGAGGGGGGAGTAGCGGGCGTCAAGATCGCGATATTCGCGATAATAGATCTAGGAATCAAGACATTAATAAGCGCGCTGGTGGTGGTGGTGGTGGCCGCAATCAACCGCGTAACCGGGGTAGAGATTGGGATAGAGGTAGGGATAGGGATAGAGGAGATCGTGATAGGGACAGAGAGCGAGAATGGGATTATACTCGACCACATACAGATTTGGATAGACCAGTTGAAGAAGGAGAATTGACTAATGTTGATTTTGTCTCACTCGCTACAGGATTAAATTTTGTGCCACATAAAAAGCCAAGAATTGAGTAGAAGTAATAGAAGCGAAATTTAAACCTATTTATTAGGAAAGACGGATGGTCTTCCTTTGTTCGCAATTGTTTAACAATTGCAACGAAAACAGAAGGTCACGTGCAGTTCGAATCGTCGAAGTCTCACGTGACAAACTGAAATTTTTGTGAGTGGCCTAAAAATGGTAAGGGTAAATTTACCAAAATACTCGAAGCGATGGGATACTGCGCCAAACGAAATAGAAAGTGCATTATTCCTACATCGATAAATTTTATGGTTGGTTTGAGCTTATTTAAAAACTTGAAAATAATTTAAATTTATGTATGAATGTAGTGTCATAAATGTGTCATTTATTTCCGAAATCTACATTATGCATTAAATGATATTTCCTCTATTTAAAATGGTTACGACTAATTAATTACAAATAAATTTGTTGGAATTTTAGAATTTGCCATGTGACTTGATTTTTTTTTTGACTGATTGGTTCAAAAATCTAATTTAATGATTGAGTAGTTTCCAATAATTATAACTACATTACGGTGTATGCACTCTAAAATTTACAAATGACGTATTACTTCACCCGAGTTTGTGCACTCACATGTATGATCTTTTTTGTATTATTTATATTATGTTGAGGATCAAACGTGAAAAATTTAAAAACGTTTTTCATTCACGCTTTTTAATGGTTTATCATTTATTTATTCATAAATGTGCATATATGATAATATTATTCATTTATGGCTTTTCGTTTTTTTATTATTATTAGGCGAACATCAAATCAGGTGAAAATTCTTCTTGACTAATCAAACAAAGTGATTGGTATAATGAAACATATCATCATTGTAGAACTTTTTTTGTTTTTTTACTATTTTTAATTTAGTGTGCATCAACCAAAAAGGAAATAGATTTAAGGTTAAGGATTTACCATCACAAGTAATGATTCTTAGATCCAACAATAAACGTAAAATATTTCTCATCGTATTTGTCACACAAGTATTAAAAAACGGGCATATATCTACACAAAGATTAAGGAATTCTCTATATTAATATAAATTGGGGGTTTAAAAAATAAAATGATGAATTTTTACGTATAATTTTCTATTTTTTCTTTCTAAAGAGAAGAGAAAAGAAAGAACTTTCACTTTATTGACTTATTTGGTTAAATCACTTTTTTTTTTTTTTTTTTTTTGAAATAATAAATATAATAGTTTGCACACTTTTTTTTTTTTTTACCACCGTTTTTCCTAATAAATTTTTTTTTTTAAAAAAAATTTTTTTTGCTTCAAACCCTTTTTTTTTTTTTGCGTGCAATTTTCTTTTTCTGGCTCCAAAAATGACACAAACGAAAAATCACGGACCTTTAGATTTGGAAAATGTATCATCACATATTGTAAAAAAATCCGAGATACCAAAAAAGAAATCAAAGTATTCGATTTATTATATCGTAAACATCAAGATTTTTTTGTAAGTAACGAACTAACCATTTAAAGTTAAAATTCAATAAATCCAAAAGTAGCATTTTTAAATTAAATTTTTTTTTCTCAACAGTAAAAATAAAATCATCAAATCAAAGAAGAAAGAGACCAAATCAACCACCAAGTCTTCGTCTTCGAAGAAAAGATCATCTGTGGAATTCGTATTTACTGTCACAGATTTCGAGTGAGTGTGTTTTTTACTTATTTACAATTTTTTTTTATAAAAAAAAAAAATTGATTTTAGAAATTCTGACCGTTTTTCCTCCTTTTGCTTGAACAGCAAAGAACAATTGGCCAAAGCTATATCACTTGTAAAATCATCAAATTATTCGATGGCTTTATCAATCTTGGAACCAATGTCGAAGCAATCATCACCTGATCATGAGATAGCGTATTGGACCGGTTATTGTTACGAATATTTACAAAATTATGAATTGGCAGAAAAGTTCTACAAGATTAGTGCCGATTATTTGTTGGATGATGGTCATTGGGAAGCGACTTATGGTAAATTTCTACTTGAACATTCAAACCTAAATAATCCCAATAATAAAAGTGCCGAGGAGAGAATTCAGGAAGGAATAATACGATTAAAGTCCTCAGCTGATCATAAGAGATATCTTGACGCAATGTACATTTTAGGAAAAGTTTATATCAATGGACTTTTTGGTATACAAGAAGATTATGATAAGGGGGTATTTTACTTGAAAAAGGCTTATAATGGTGGGAGAAAAGATAAGTCTTGGGATGTTTATGAGAAGAAGGCCAATGAATTGGTTGCCGGCGGCCATTTAAAAGAAGTTCCTCTCAAACACATTTGGGCTAAAAACTAATAGCGGATCGGAAAACTGTTAACCAATTATTTAAACAATTCTTAAATTTTAATTTGTACATGTTTAATTTACTCTCTCTAGATTTTCTGGTCTCTTGTAAAAATTTTTTTTTCTTTTTGTATCAAAATATAATAATATTCTTAATAATTAATTCATTAATAATAAACATGGTAGCATTTCTAAAAAGAAAAAATATTCAAGGTACAACAACAAGTAGATATATTCTTTATTTCTAACGACCCATTTCTCACATAATTCACAAACTCTTCCCATCATAATAATTCCTTTTTCCTTCGAGAGGTCTCACTTGTTTTTGGTTTTTCTAAAAGAAAATTTCTTCCTGGTAGGGGAAAATTCGCCTAATTTATGACCCACCATTTCTTCAGTAATATTAACGGGTATGTAATCTTTACCGTTATGTACTAAAAATTTTAACCCGACAAATGATGGTAAAACCGTACATGATCTTGCTTGAGTTTTTATCGGAGTTTTCGTCGCTTGAGCATGACGTAGGCCTAGTAATACGCCGGAAAGGATAAAATAGCAAAAAAAAATTATAATTCATTTGATTTTATTTAAAAAGTAGCGACAAGCAAAAAAAAAAAAAATTTTTACCAGGAAACTTTACAAAGAAGGGACCTGTTTCGAGAGAAAAGAAAAATTTTTTAGCGTAAAAATATATATATATATATATTTTACCATCCCAAATAAATACCTTTCCAGGCCGATCGACTCAATAATTTTAGAGTAGGTTGCATAAACCAAAAATTTTCTTTTTAAAATATTTACTGTAATTTTGTAAATAAAGAAAAAACCACTTGCGGTGAGAAAAAAGCAGAATTTTGTCCGATTATCCAATTTTAATCACACTAATTCATTCACGTGACCATAAAAAATTTTAAATATCACTTTATACACTTTTTCACTCTGAAACGAATGTTTAACAAACAAGGAATACATTGATTCACTTTAATAATAAATTAGTTAATTAAATAATTAATATAATATATATATATATATATATATATTTGTTGATATCAATTTTTTTACATTGCATAAAAGAATTCTTCCTCATCTTCTTCCTCATTGTCTACATCATCATTATTAATTTGTATTTCTTGTTTAGGTATTACATTATTGCTATTTCCTCCTATAACACCACGTTCTCCCCCGTTAACTAATGGGGGTACTTTATGTATATTACCATCCCTATCCGTAAATTCGCCCATAAAATAATAACTGGGTATAACACTAGGATCCGCTTTTTCCACAGCGACGAACTCGGCTCCCTTCACCTTACCTAAAGGTTTTGTCTCACCGTATAACATTTTACCATCTTTACTTATTGATATATTACGTTTAAGTAAGGGTACCGGAGCTTTGATAATTTCCTCCTTATTATTATCTGAATAATTACCAAGATCAGAAACGCTATTATTATTTGATGAAACCGATGCTATAGATTTTTTTGATATGGATTTCTTTTTAAGTCGTTTTAATGATGATTGTTTTTTTATTGTCGGCGGCTGTGAGGGCTCATTATTCGCGGTATTTTTACTATAATTTTGTCTGATATTATTCGGTGGAGGTGTTGGCGTTGGCGTTGGCGGTTGCGTTAGTGGTGGCGTTGGTGTTGGTGGTGGTGGTGTTGTTGGTGGCAGTGACGGTGATAGTGACGGTGACGGGGTCGATTGATATTGATGTTGCAGTTGCTTGTCATCGTAACCGAAATTATGACTACTAATCATGCTGTTACTATGACTACGTGGAAATACATTTATATTAACACCGATACCAACAGATGCACCGGACGTCAAAGTTCCAAATTTTGTAGCGGTAGTGACTTGCGATGATAATGCATTTACACTACTTAATCCCAGATTGGTGGTGTTCGTATTAAATGAGGTTCCACCAGCTTCTGTACCAACAAATCCTTTCCTTGGATAAAATATAAGTATCAACACGATCCATTCTACCACAGCTGCGAAATTGACGTGCGCAACCAACAAGTCACTAGGAACGTATTTTACGTACATTATTAAACGAACGGTAGAAATAAAAAAATACAATAAAATAAAAGAAATTACCTTGCAAATTTGGAATTATTAATAACTTTAGCCGTCGTGAGCGTGTCAATGCTTAATATGTAAAACGATGCGCTCATGATGGCCAGTGACGTGGTTAACAATTTGTTCATGTCAATAAAATATCTTATCTTTGCGATAACGCTTGTTGAATTTTTATGCGTTGAAGTGGTCTCAATTAATCTACGAAACTTTTGATGCGTACGTACTCCAAGCAATGTTAAAATTAATAATTGCGTTGCATATACGACTTGCGGTATCGCCTAAAATGATATCCAAATAAAATGATAATGGGTGATTGGTAAAGTTTAATATCTTGGGGGCACGTGCGGGATTTTAAGAGGACTTGAGGCATTTTAAGCAAATTACCTCCAACAAGACGTCATTATTTTTAAATACGTATGGTAGAACGGGAAACGACCCAACACTAACCACCCCCCATACGATGTAAAATGAGAATTCTTCTCTTGTCATGAATGGTACTTGCGCGATTGAATTTACTAAATAATTCCAAAAACATTGTAATAAATACAAAGTTATCCTACAAGGAAGGAAAGAAAAATTCATCACAATTCATCGTAATGATAAAATGATAAAATATCTAAATAGACACTCACGCTTGAAAGCTAATTCCAACCATTAATATGTAATAACTTGGTAAGACCCACAATTGATTTTCTTCTGACCATAACCATCTTGGTTTTGCCCTCATCACTTCGTCTGCACCCGGAAATAAATATAATCCTTCCACATATTTTATTTTTGCCTAAAATAAAAATCCATTTCACAAGAATTAACTTATGGAGAAATTTCAATAGAAGAAAAATAATAGTTCCATCACTTACTGTGATTATATCGTAAAATGATTCTAATGGTAATGCAAAAAGTATGAATATTGTAACAAATGATTTTAATTCAAATGATGATATATGTTTGAGTCTTAATGCTGAGAATCCATCACACTGTGGAACAAGAAAAAGGATGATTAGGCTTTAATTTGGAAAACATTTCAAAGAAAGTACCCAAATGGCCTCGATAATTACCCTCCATACATGTAAAATAAACCATATCCATATGTACACCTCATGAACCGATCTTTCTATAAGGTTCAATTGAAACGATTGAATATTAGTACGCGGATACACACTTCTCGACCATTTTTTTTTTTTTACTTGGTACTTACCTAGGAATGAGTAATCACTCATTTGCATTAAATTATCAGATTCTTTTCCATTGTAACCAACAATTTCATTATTACTTGCCATATCTATCGGTAAGCACGCATGTAACAAAATCAATTTTTTTTAAAAAAAAACAGAAAGAGTTTCACTCTATTTTGTAATAAATAGAGTGTAATTTATAATTGAAACCAATTCGAAAAAAAGAAGAGGGAAACGATCTTTAAAAGGATAAGGTGGCGAGTTTTAGACAGGTGAAAAGGAACATGTATGTATAAGTATGTAAATGTGTATAATAGGATATTATGATGATTTATGAAAGATAAATAAATAAACAAAAAAAAAAAAAATAATAATAATTCTTGAAGAAAAGGAGAAGGTTAAAAAAAAAGTTAAGAGATGAATGAAATTGAAAGCAAAGTAAACAAAACTGCACCTTTTGCACAATTGTATGCAGTACAAGGTAAGCAGTTTGGGAAATAGTCGTTAATATCTAGATATATATTGTAAAAGGCGTAGTTCCAAATATAGTATGTATGAACAAAAAAGTTGAAAAATGAAACTCCGGGTGGTTTGGAGCTATTACTAAAGAAGATATGAAACTGAAGAATGGTAAAAAAAAATTTTAAATTACTTTACATTAAATTATAAAAGGAGCTTAATAGAGTTAAGAGAAAAAAAATTTATTATAGTTCCATCATAAATTTGGATTAGGAGAGAAACTGAATTATGCTATTCTATTTATACAAAAAAAATCAAACTATTTGGTAATGTATGCAATATAATGAATGTTATGGTTACGCGCGATTAAGTTTCTTTGATTTTGTATGACAATGAAATTTATTTCATAAAAAAAAAAAAAAGAGAAATCAAGAAATAGAATATATCTCATAAAGACAATCATTTTTTTAAACATATATCCCTTGATTTTTCTTTACGATAATTTTTCTATTAAATTAAAATTTACTTATTTTAAGAAATCTCATAATCTCATATGGAAGGAACCATATCAACATATATACTATTTTAGTAAATATTTGCTATAAATAATAATACAGAGAATTTTGTCCTTTCTGACTACCCATAAATGAACTGATTGTATCAATGAAATATTTTATAACTAAAAAAATTCAGGTACGCTAAATTAATAAATTAATGTGGATTCAGAATAAATGAGCCTATTTCATTCTTCATTTCGCTTAAAAGATGAACAATCATAAATTGCAACTTTGAAAGCTGCACCTTATCATCAAAAGTATATCTTGAAAAACTTTATAAGTTACATTGAGATATCTTTAAGATATTGTTGATGAGTAAATTATTAAATGGAAATTTTCTTGACATTGAAATTCTTCTACTTTTTTCCGTTTATTTGATGGTCCGCCAAAAAGTTTATCATTACATATGGATTTCTTCAAAAAGGTTAGCTTTAAACAAAGGATTCTACTCAATAAAACATTAAGACCTTAGTAAAAAGAAAATTGATTTGGGCGACGAATTAATAATTCGGACGTTTGCTATTTTATTTTCACAATTTAAGCGATATGCTCGAATTTTCTAAAAAAAAAATAAACAAATAAATAAAGGAATTTAATTTTAGGAGTGGGGTTACTGGGGTAGGGCATTTGATAAATTTAACGTTTTTGTTATAATTAACAGCCCGATAAAAAAATGTAATTTTAATCGAACATGTGTCACAAATAAATAAATTTATACCGCATTATTAATGTTTATTGTTATTCGCAATTTGCCTATCTAATTTAGCCTGATAATGAATATGTTATGTCGTCATTGTGGAAAATTTTGCTTGTAACACTCGCTGATACGATTCCACCCATGCGCACTCCGATTCCATCGATGACCACATTCAAAAACCACCAAAAGTCCAATGTGCACATTCACAACAAGAACGTAATTGTAAATCGTGTGCAGAGTTCGAGCGGATCCGTCTCAAAAAAATAAATCATAAGACTCAGTAGCAATGTATTACTGTGAAATCACGAAAATAATATTTCATAAAAAGGATCGTCCTCAATTCACAATTCATCAATGTTTTAGTCATGTGCTGTTAATTATTTATTATTAAATTGATTACATTGCAGGTGCACTAACCTTTGTACATTATTTTTTCATTTTCCATAACCAATCATGGTCCTACTTTTATATTTTAAATCATCTTGGTATATTTAATACTAGAAAAAATTAATTATTGTTACGAGTAAATAAGGATTAGAGCAAGTTTATAAGGGATGGTCAATCTAGATAATCTTTTATATCATAAAAATTTAGGAATGCAACTGTTTTAAACCGGTAGATTTTCATTCCCGTTACGCGGAGAGAACGACTCAGAAGATATTGGTAGATGAAATTGGGATTATTTTTTAAGTACCTGGTATAATAAGGTTTGTGATCAACCTGTTCAAACTTATCTTTTTAATAGTTGTATTTTTTTCTCCATAATTTTGCCAACAACAGCGAGTCTAAAGAGACTGCACCTGTGCTTATTTACTTGGATCATATGAATCCCTTCATTTTGTATATTAAAACTTCCTAAGGACAAGTTCTTAATGTCGCTAATGCAGAACTGCTTAGAGGTATGTGCTCATTTTGTTCTCTTCCAAGGAAATTTCATTCCAATTTGAACTACTGGAATTGCTATTAATTTAAGTTTAACGCAGTTACGGTTCGGAATAGATTCGGCAAGTTGATTTTATCTGAATCTTTTGAATCTTACGAACTTTTAAACTGTTCTGAATAATCAATATTGTTATTACGAATTCCATAAATATAATATGTTCATCAAACTTTATATATCAATATATTTATTTTATTTGAACCTTTTAAAAAGAAATTTCTACGAAAACTGAATGCACTTGTCAAGTATTCATCCAAACTTTTGAACCGAAATTTCATTTTAAAACTTTAATAGATAGCTTTCACCAGTAAATGATTTTTTTTTTAAAAAAAAAATAATTATGTAAGCGGGAAGATATATATATTTTTTAAACCCATCTATTTAAAATGGCCCGACATTTGGAAAATGGTTGTAGCACTCTCCACATTCCTTCTGAAAACGGCCTCACCATTCTACGTACTGTGCGAAAAAGAGTTAGAATATACCCGAGCGCGCACTTTGCTGATATTAAAAAATTCGGCCTCTACCATCATGACTGCGTTAGACACACCGAAAAGCAACACATTTCGAGCGCCATCACCAAAACCGAATTCACCACACGCAAGCCAACGATCGTTTAATTCAACGTTGACTATATATAACATTCTTGTTTGTCGAGTTTTGTTCGAATAAAAATTTATTTACTATTGATTTATATTTCTATAAAAGTCATTGTAATTATCAATGTACGACGTACAAGTTTAATTTATCAAAAAAGGTGAATAATCGGACGAATTAATATATATATATATATATAAAAATATGCCACATATGGTGGTTTTGAAAATTATTGCTATATTCGAATCGATACTCGATATTAAATTGATATCCATTTTCAAATGATTGTCATTTTCGAATGAGAAGAATTGTGTTACATTAAAACCGCTATAATTTTTTTATTTTCGACCAAAAATTTTACGTCTAGAATAAGGAAGCTACTAATGCATCATAAATGAAGGGATCCTCTCCTCCCATTGTAAGGTATCGAAGTTTTTGCCAAGATGTCAAATTTTTGTTGCTCGATAATTTATCGCATCATTTCTTGCAAGAACATGTATGCGAATTATTTCAACATGAGTATTAAAAAAATTGCCGAAATGATAAAAGATTTCAGTCAATTATAATGATAATCATGTCATGATCGTGACATTCATATGGAAATCGTTTATGTATCTTATAAACAAGTCAAGTCCGGTGATAGTTTTCCCGATCGATGTTTGTTAGAAATTTCGAACCAATAAGAATTATTATTATTATTTTTTTTTTTTAACAATAATTAATCAAAAAAGAATCTTAAAATATTTTTATGTTTGATGATTTTATTTATTTATTTGTTCATTTTTATGTATGTTACTAATAAAATAATTTTTCAAGTTCAAATATGTTCATTTTTTATTAAGAAAAAAAAATAAAATAAAAATGAAAAGATTCTATTAATAAAATTTATCAAACACATTTTATTTACAAGGACTCACATTTCATAAATGAGAATCTATTTATGAACAGTATTTATTTAATTACAGTATAAATGATTATATAAATATAAAATATATAAACGATACGAACTGACAAAAATTTATGACAAGTGAAAATAAAAGAAAGAAAGAAATTTGTTGTGGCTAAAGGATCAATTCCTTAGGTTCTTTTATTTCTCAATGTAATGAAATAACCATCTATATTTATTATTATGGAATGATTAAAGTCATGTCATGTAAAAAAGAAAAAAAAATTTATTTGTTGTCCAAATCAAAAATGAGGGATGTGCCGCAGTTATCAATAGTTAGGGGTGACACTTTTTTTTACCCCTTGCCCATATTTCATTTAGTTTGTATCCGAGCTCACGTGAACGAATCAAAATAACTGTATTTCTTTTATAATCCCACATTCAAGGAACAAAAATTTCTCAGGATGTGTTTTAAATATTTTTTTCTTGTGTTATAATTAAGGACCAAGGATTTAATAGCATATAAAGAGAATAATGATGAGTGATACCATATTACATGCAGGTGTTGCGAGTTGCCAAACAAAAATTGTTTCCAATGACAATATCAAGCATAAAGCCACGCGAAACTAAAATAATGTAACAAGAGTGAACACAAAAAAAAAACAAATTAATCTTCCTTTTAATAGCTTAGATTAAATAATTTATATTGTTATATAAATGGATTGATCAATTTTTTTTTAAAAAAAGAATAATAATAATAAAAATCGTTTACAAGAAACAGTTTGAAACCATACTTGGTTTGTTTTCATTGTAATCCGTTCATCCCTTCCTTTAAATTTTTTTTTTCTTACATTTACACTTGCACAAAAACCTTTTGTTTTTTTTTTTATCAACACAAACGCATTTGTTTTTTATACATTCTTTTTTTTTTCCTATTTGTTTCTGGCTGTGCCAGTGGTAAAACTTTGA